CTAACTTGCAGCTCTTCTCAAACTCACAAGTGAACACAGCTCACATATTTTCTAAAGTCCTCTTTGTGTCCTGTAAAGCTTTGTTCACATAGAACTACGACTACTTGGGGACCTCTGGTAATTTGTAATAATAGTAAAGGTTTTTTGAAATTCTAATCTCATGTGAACCCTACAATGTCTGAAATTGGTCTTCCACCGCAAACTGGTCCTGTGACAATATCATTCCAGTGCAAATGAGCATCTCATTGATTTGTTGTGGTGCATTTACAAGGTTTTTCTTTATTTTTTTAATCCTGCCCTCTGTCTGCTTGAAAAGTACAGAGGCTGCCTGTTCATTTCAAATGACCATCTGGACAGAATTTTGGTTGCAAATTCAGCAGACTTGTGTCGAGCGTGGAGACTCGTTTACAGAAGGAGCTCAAATCCTTCAGAACAGCAAAAGATTGAAGAAGAATTAGATGAATGACATTTATGGCAGCGAGTGTGATGGAATATTTTGCAGCCTCTCAGCAGGCTGAACCTTTAAAAAGAATAACAATAATTTTTTTAAAAATGGGCCATCATGACAGCTCACTTGGCTGAGCTGGCGTCCCATGTACAGGGACATTCATTCTTATAATAATGCTAAAGTCCCCGATGCAGTGGTATTGAGTTCGAATCTGGCTCGTGGCACTTTGATTTGATGAATTGAAATTAAATTTATGAGGGCATTCCCTCTGTTTTGTATCATTAGTTACACAAACAAATCATGTGACAGTCACTTTGCGTTTCACACATGCACCAACAACAGGAATAAACTCTTGATACATTTTATTTCAGCAATATAGTCTTTGTCTCCAAACAGGATTCATGGACGATAATACAAGAACCTTAATTTCATGAATGCATCGTGGTAAATGTCTTTGTCCGATACTGATACACAACATAATAACAGCCAGTTGTAAAAACCTGAAGAGTTCTTTGTTGGTATTTAGTGGAAAGTTGCAGCGGAGGTCGATGAGAACCATGAACAAAGAGAGCAGAGGACTCTGCTGCTGACAGCATTTGTGCACATTTTCTTTGTGTCTTAATTATATATAATATATAGAAGAGTATTTTAGCTTGGAGTCGATCCTGTTCAGAGCGTTTGGATTAAAAAGATGCACTCAGTCAAAACACATGTAAACATAAGGACACACCTTGTTCACAAAATGTAACTGATACACAGAACGACAGCATATATGAAGCCCTTTAGCAGTAATCAAGCATCACCTACGTTATTCAATACAAACAGATACCAAACATCTGATAATTCACTAATGCAGTCCAAAAGCCTTGGTAGCAGCGTAGATCCTCTCTCTCTCTGCTGCCTTTGCCTCCTTTGTTGCACCGCTGTCAGCTTTTATCATGGTAAAGGTGGCAGCAGAATACATCCATGTGTCCGAATCCTTAT